AGACTTCCTGCTTACCAGGGTATGCAGTAGAAGCGAGTGTTGTCTCTGTATTCTTGGGTTTCTTTGCTGTGTTTTACTTGTCCTTTGGGATGCATGTGTTCATCCTGGTTCTTAGTTTATCCCTTCCACCACTTTGAATGAATTCCTGGAGAGAAGCTGCCTGTACAGGCTGATAGACTGATAAAAACTTCAATGACTATAGAGGTGTTTGAAATGTTGCTTATCTGATAGCCTAATTATAAATTCCTTTCTGCCTCTGAAGACCCATTCCTTGCCCACCTCTGTATCAGACCTAACATCTTGATAAACAGGATGTTTATTTGAATGTATTAACTTAACAAAACACTATTCTCCACCAATGGAAGAGCTAAGATTGCTGCCAGATAGGCCTGTAGGTGAGCTTCATCTGCTTGCTATAAATGACTAATTCAAGTCCCCACCAAGGTGTTTTTTAAATGCCTAGATTTATAACTTCCTTTGTTCTGTTACTATAAAAACTCCATGAAACTGCTTCCCCATTGGAACAGAAAACCTGGGCTTTAGAAGTTTCACCAGGGTTTTATCTCTTTACAGGCTTTTCTGAAACAACTTGCTTTTTCTTTCTTTAACTGTTGTTCAACTTTGCAGTGAGGATCATTGCCTGCAGATCTCAGCCTCCTGCTGGCTTGCTCCAGACTCTGTGGGCTTATGACTAAACTTCCCCCTTGGATACATCAAATACATATAGTTTTGTGCCAACAACACACTAAGGAAGTGTTTTTAGTGTATAAAGCACACAACAACAGGGGACAATGGCATATTGTAATCCTAGCACTCAGGATAGGGAGGCAGGAGGATCAGGAGTTCAAGATAAGGCTTAGGGGTATAGTGAGTTCAAGGTCAGCCTGGGGTATGGAGACCCTGTCTCAAAAAAAAAACAAACAACACACACACACACACACACACACACACACACACACACACACACACACACCAAGGAGTCCTTGGCTCCTGGAGGACAAAAGGGGCCTCGATTTCCAAACCTGAGAAGTAGGTAGTATGAGGAGTCACCTGAGAGTCGGTTTGTTTCAGACTGGTCAGTAAAAAGACACACAAGGAAAGGGTCTGTTTTGTTTTGTTTCTTCAGCCACTGTGCTCAGGACTGGGAGTATGTAGAAGAGATGGTTGGTACTGGCAGGCTGAGGCAGGAAGATCACAAGTTCAAGGCTTGCCTAGGCAACGTAGTAAAACTCTCATAATGGAAAATGAAAAAACAAGTCTTCAGGGGTGAGCTGGAGTGATAGAGTACTTGACTAGCATATGAGTAGGTTGGGGTTCAGTTTTCAGCCCTGCAAAGCAAACAAACAAATGGGCAATTAATGGGATTTGACAGTGACAGCAAGAAATTGACACCTAGCTAACTTACCTGCAGGTGAAAGTTGATCCTATTATTTTCTCATTACCCTTTTCTTTCTCCCTGTTCTCCCACCAGACCTTATTCTTTTCACACTCATTCACACTTAGCAGGAATGAGGTCAAAGTTTTGTGGGGTTGTTTTGTTTCAGAATGGGAATTTGCACAGGTTGGGGTGGTGGATACCAGGACCAAGCAAGCCGTTTTGCATTCCTGATATCTCTTTAGGCTTAACCACATCTGGGCTGGCTGTGGGAGACAGGTCAAGACTCTGGGCAGAGATTCTGAGACTGACCACGTGGTGCTGAGACTTGATGGGGTGATCTGCCTGTGCCTGCCTGCCTTCCATCATGGACTGTGTGATCACATTTCTGCCTTCTGAATACAGAATTCATCCAGTAGCATCATGGGCTCTAATGGAATTTGACACAAAGATCACACAGCTTCCCTGGAAATAAGGTGATGTGGTGTGACTTTCACATGCACTGTTCAGAAAGCCGGGGGCAGTGAGGTCACACAAGTCCACAAAACCAGAACAAGTGCCTGTGGCATGCTTAGCATCTATCTTACTGACTTCCTGTTCTCTTTCTTTTGGACATGAGGACATAAAGAGCAAGCCAGTAAGCAGTGTCCCTCCATGGCCTCTGCATCCTCCTGCCTCAGGCTCCTGGCCTGTGTGAGTTCCTGCCCCCATTGCTTTTGATGGAACTGTTATATGGAACAGTGAGTGAAGTAAACTCCTCTCCAAGTTGCTTTTGGTAATGGTGTTTCATGGCAAACCTGACAAAAATTGGTACCAGGGTAGTGGGGCACTGCTGTGACAGACATGACCACGTTGCTTTGTGGAGGACTGAGGAAAGTCTTTGGAACTTTGGGCTAGAAAAGTCATTAAGTGTTGAGATCTCAGGGGACTGTTCTATAGGAGTTTGGAGGGTAAGAACGTTGAGAGCAGTGCAGATGATTGAGGTCTGGCTTGTGACATTTCAGAAGGAAGCAAAGACTCTGTGGGACAATTTGCATGAAGAGCCTGAGGTGTCTGATTAGACAGAGCTGAATATGCTATGCTTGTGTTATGATATGAACATGGTTAACAAGGGACCAGAAACCAATGAACAGAAACCTTTGCTTTTCTGGGACAACACATGCTGGACCATTCCCCATCAATCACTAATTAAGAAGATGGCCTAAGGCTTGCCTATAGCCCACACTTTTGGAGGCATTTTCTCACTTGAAGCTCCCTCCTCTCTGACGACTCTAGGTTGTGTCAAGTTGGCATAGAACTAGCTAGTACAACTGACCTTTTCCTTTTTCTTCTTTTCTTTTTCTCTTTCTCTTTCATTTCCTTTCCTTTATTTTCCTTCCCCCTCCCTACCTCCCTCCCTTCCTCCCTTCCTTCCTTCCTTCCTTCCTTCTTTCCTTCCTTCCTTCCTTCCTTCCTTCCTTCCTTTTTTTGTTTTTCAAGATAGGGTTTCTCTAATAGTCCTGGCTGTCTTGGAACTCACTCTGTAGACCATGCTGGCCTTGAACTCACCTTGAGCTCCACCTGCCTCTGCCTCCCAAGTGCAAGTGCTGGGATTAAAGGTGTGTGCTACCACATTTGATGAGACCAGTTTTCTTGAGATGAAGTCTTCTGGGAAGTGTTTCCTGAGAGTCAGCACACAGAAGCTGTGCTCCAGAGGTGGCCAAGATTGCACCTCCTACTGGTAGCCTGACTTGGTAGTAGCATAGGAGTAACCAGATGGTACTAGTTTTGAAGGTGTGAATGGGTCATGGAGAGCAGCTGAGGCTTGTCATTGTTAGGAAAGACGGAGTCCTTGAAGAGAGCCCAGGAAAGGATTGGTGAAAATGAAATCCAAGTACAGCAGTAGACTCCAAAATTTGGGAGTGCCAGTACTGTGGGAAAACCACTAAGGTGTGGAGTGGGACCAGCAGGAGCCTAGAAGACATGACATGTGTGCTGCACAGGGTAGAGCTGGAGAAGTGACCCAGGATCTTTGGAGAAGCCCCGAAGACCGTGAGTAGATCAGAGACATTGGACATTGAGTTATTTATACAGTTAGACTTTGGTTTTGCTTTGTTCTGTTTGTGACTTCACCCTGGTTCTTCCCTCTTGAAACAAGAAGCTATTTAACTTATTTCTGATTACAGGAGCCACAGTTGAGAAACTTTCAATTTCAAAAGAGACTTTGGATTTTTTTTTTAAGTGAGACAGATTTTTTAATGTGTTTGGATTTGTAAGAGTGTGGGACTTTTTCAGTTTGTTTCAGAAATGTTTTATATTGTGCTGTTTATGTTGGTGTGGATTTTGGGGGATGCAAAAGAAAGAAAGGTTGTGGCTGTAACAGTGATGTCTTTGTGTGTTGACAAGGGGTTAGTTGTACTAAGTAGTTTTATGTCAACTTGACACAAGCTAGAGTCATCAGAGATGAGGGGGCTTCAAGTGAGAAATGCCTCCAAAAGTTTGGATGGTAGACAAGTTTTAGAGTATTTTCTTAATTAGTGACTGATGGGGACGGTCCAGTCCACCTTGGATGGTGCCACCCCAAGGACAGTAGTCCTGGGTTCTATAAGAAAGCAGGCTGAACAAGCCACAGGGAACAAGCCAGTGAGCACTATCCCTCTATGGCTTCTGCATCAGCTGCTGTTTCCATGTTCATGCCCTGTTAGAGTTAGTTCCCTCTATGATGAGCAGTGATATGGAAATACATGACAAATAAATCCTTTCCTCCCTGAGTTGGGTTGGTCATGGTGTTTCATCATGGCTATAGTGACCTTAACTAAGACAGCAGGCTGGCTTGTTCTTTCGGGGGGGGGGGGGAGAATGCTGTATGGGGAGCTAGAGCTGTGCTCCAGGCTGGCAGGGACAGAGGAGGACAAGTGAATCATGCTGTAGGAATGGACTAGAAGAGGAGGAGTCACAGGGGTGAGTGGAGAAGGTTACCCTGTGACATAAGATACTGGCTTTTCCAAAATGCTGGTTACCAGTGTGGGGCTGGCCTAGCATTGGTTGTCAGAGAGCAGAGAATGTTGACACTGGCACAAAATATCACACACCCTTGCATGGCAGCAGTATTTATTGAAACACAGATGGGGTCCACCCAGAAGGCAAGGTACCTACAGACAGAACCGGAAAGTGGCCTCATAGTCCCTGTCCCATCAGCTCTCCAGTGGGCAGTTCCCTTCTGCACAGGCAAGGGAGGCCAGGAGCAAGTATGGAGTCTTTGAATTGTGTAAAGATGTCCTGAATAGCAAGACCTGCTCAAAGCTCCCCAGCCAGGGGCTGTAGGTAGCAGGACTCCCCAGAGAGCAGACTGTTTTCTGGGAGGCAACCTAAGGAGTGTGGCTAGAGCATGTTGCCCCGGGAAGGCAGTCAGTCAGGGGGGTGAGCAGACACAACCAAGGACGGGTAGGTGCTTGCTGCCTCTGAGGCCATGTACCGGGAGCCAGAAGTGGGGGCTGCTTGGGGAAAGTTCCCTCTGGTTCTTGGTTTTAGGGGGGAATGGCTGGTGGTTGGGATTGTGCTTTGACCAAGCTTTATTGTCCAGCCACCCGGTGTGACCAGGGGAGTCCCCGAGGGCTTGGTGAATGAAACAAATGAATTATAAGTGTTTGAAGACAGGATGGAATTAAGGGAAGGGTTGGGAATAACCTTCTAAAGTGAAGCCAGAGGAGAACTGAGAAACAACTCCCTAAAAGGAGAAGGTGGAGGAGAGTGGCCCTGAGCTCTTTCCTCCTACAGGACCATCTGGAATATTCCAGAAGCAAGCACACATTTTCCATTCACACATCACTCCATTCATGGGCAGACAGGTTATTCAGTTGAAGGTCCTGGCGCTAAGCAAAGCGTACTGAGCGGCTGCTCCCACAGCTGAAGCTGGAGGATCGTGGCTGGCAAGGAGAGCAGGAGTCAGGGGCCATCACTGCGATGCTGCCCCCGGTGGCAGAGGGGCCAGAGGCAATCTGGCGCCCTGGGGTTGTGCCATATGTGAGGCCCCCACATGTGACTCCACCTCGAGAGCTGCTGACACCTGTGGGAAGAGGAACAGGGAGGGATAAGGGTGTCACCAACCCACCACAGTTCCCTGGGGGCTTCACATGCAGGGCCTGCCTCCTCCTCAAGGGATCCATGGTTAACATGACAGGTTTCAGCCTCATAGCACATCTGGAGAGATGTGAAGGTTCCTGAACCCATTTCCCTGGACTGCAGTTTCTAGTGCCCACCAGTAAGGGGCGCTCAACTTTTTTACACCCCACCCCTCCAGTAGTCCTTAGGAAGGAACCTATGGAAGAAGGAAGAATAAAGACTATGGAAGTTGGGAAACATTGGAGGGTCAGTGGTGTAGGCCCATGGTGCAGCTTTGCCCATCCCCCAAACCACTTTTCTAAGGGCATTTCCAGCAGATACTTACAGACATTCACAGAGCCCACACCCTCGCACAGCCTAAGGAGAAAAGAAAGTGCCATTAGTTCCAAGCAGTGAGTTGTATTCCTTGAGACAGTTGCTTGGGGACAGACAAGGTCAGCTTTTGTTCTGGGTTGGATCTATCTCTTGAGAGGCAGGAAGACCTCCCCAAATCTTCATGGAATGTTCATTTTCTTTCTTTAAAGAGTCCCCCATCCATGAAGACCAGCCCTCCCAGTTTAGAGCAGTAGTGAGTGGAATTGTGACTTCCACACACTGCCTGCCTACAGGGTGCCTGAGCTTGCTGATCGCCAGTAGAGCTCACAGTAAGGATGAGGCAGAGCTTCGTGTGTACAGGGTACATCGTCCTTATTCTACATGACCCCGGCCTCAAGGGAAGCTATGAATGGGCTTTAGAAGCCCAGAACCCAGTATTGGGTCCCAGCTCTGCAGCTTAGTAACTTGGTGGTCATGCTGAACACTGAGCCAACCCTCTTCTGTTTTTGGATAGGGAAAATGGTACCTACCTACCAGGATGAGGATCATAAATGGGCACTTGACATAGAGCATACTGTGGTGCTACGTAACCATTATTGCTGAAGCCTGGCCTGGAGTAGGGTGGTCAGATCTGTGTGTCACACTTGTGCCCCAGACCATTCACCAGGAGGACCAGAGCCTCTGCCTCTTCCATGCAAGGACTGACAGGCCCTAGCCAGCTAGTTTGTTCAAGACAGTTCGGCCCTCAAATGAATTCCCACATGGTTTTTCTCAGCTCACCTGTGCTCCTCGCCCTCCAGCAGGCGCCTGTAGGTGGCGATCTCGATGTCCAGCCCCAGCTTGGAGTTCATCACCTCCTGGTACTCCTTGAGCAGGCAGGCCATGTCCTGCTTGGCCTTCTGTAGGGCAGCCTCCAGCTCAGCCAGCTTGCAGCGGGCATCAGTGAGGGCAGCTTCTCCCTGCTGCTCTGCCTCGGCCACAGCGGCCTCCAGCTTAGTACGCTATGGGGTGGAGAGGGGGCATCTTGTTAGAACAAAATGGGGGTGGGGTGGGGGCATAGTCTTGCCCCTTCTAGTGTTTAGAGCAAGGGAAGAGGGAGCCCTAGGAAGGTTCATGGCAGGTAGTTAATAGGGCTGGCAACTCAAGGAGGTGATGGTTTTTCAGCAGATCTCCTTCCCGGTTGGCAATGGCTGAGAAAAATATTATTGGTCCCCGCTATCAGTGGTCCTTCTCACCCCCAGTATGACCGCTGTATGATAAACAGGAATCCTGCCTTCTCTCTGGGTTGCTGCTTTCTCTCCATCTTTATTAGAGACAGGCCTTTTATTCTCGTGGGCAATGCACCTCGTGATGCATGAGTCTGCCCCATAACCCACCTGGCACTTGGCGTTCTCAATCTCAGCTGTCAGCCTCTGGATGATGCGATTCAGCTCATTGATCTCCTCTCTGGTGCGGCGCAGGGTCTCCCCATGCCGGATCACTGTGGCCTTCATCTCCTCACACTGGAAGTTGAGAGTTCAGGGGACAGATGCTTAAGAAGGAAAGTAGGACAACTACCCCCTTAACATGATACCCAAGTGTTTGCAGCATGTACAGTGCTCAGCATGTGCAATATTTACACACAGCAGCCCTGGCTGGCTACCCCAAGCAGAGACCATTCAGCTTTTCTCTTAGCAGTTCTAAGGGGAAAATAAGCCTTTTCTAATAGACACCTTACATTGTTCCCACAACCACGTCTAGGAGCCACTCACCTTGGTGCGGTACCAGGACTCGGCCTCTGCCCGGCTACGGCTGGCAACATCATCATACTGAGCCTTGATCTCAGCCACGACACAGTCCATGTTCAGGTCCCGGCTGTTGTCCATCTTGACGATGACAGAGGTGTCTGAGATGTGGGCTTGCAGAACACGGATCTCCTGCAGAGTCAACAGAAAGAGCATTATGCTTGGTGCCTATTTTGGGCCTGATGTCCCATTTCTGGGGACAGTGTTTATTCACCAGTGCAGCTCTGACGAGGAAGGTTAGTGATTCCTGTCCCTACCACCTTTCATTCACACACAGGCACAATATAAAACTGCAAGGCTAGAAGCCCCCGAGGTCAGCTTCTGAAAATGGAGGAAGTTCAGGAAAGGCCTGACTGGAAGTCTTAGGCAAAGTGGCTGGGTTTGGATGCCAAATAGTAACTGGTCCATAGTGAACCTCTATACATGGTATTCCTACATACCTTCATATCTGTCTACCATCTAGTATGCAAACACACTCTAACATACAGAGATGCCCATTGGCAAAGAAGCCAAATACATATCTGCACAATTATTCTGATACATGTGAACATGGATGCACTGCAGATATGTATACCCAGCACTCTACACCTATGTAGTGGGACCTTTTCACATGTGTGGGGTGATAGTTTCATCCGTTTGGCATGTTACTGAGCACCTGCAGACCTAGGACCCTAAACTCCCACCCCACCTCTGTGTCTCTTTTCACCAGCACATGAGTGAGTGTCTCTACCTCTTCGTAGAGGCGCTTCAGGAAGCTTGACTCCTCCACCAAGGCCTCCACATTGGCCTCCAGGTCTGATTTCCGTAAGTAGGCACAGTCCACATCCTGAGAGGGGACAGAGAGGAGGGAAGCACACTTGGAAGGGTCCAAGGGAAGGTGGTCCAGCCAACAAACATGGTGACTGCCTTCAGGCCACAAGGGTGGCTCCTGTCCCTCCCTGCCCAGCAAGCAGACCCTTACCTTCTTTAGAACCACAAACTCATTCTCTGCTGTAGCCCTCAGAGCCACCTCCTCCTCATACCTAGATGTGGAGACAGGGCAGAACTCAGAGTCCACACCTTGATGAATTTGAATCCTGCCTCAGCTCCTAGCCAAGTTCTTCCAGGAGTCCTGAAGGGGATTAAACCTTTCGTGGTATGATTGTGTCTTTGTGGCATCTGTTTGTGTATTGTTCTTGGCTAGATCTTGTCTCAGCATGGCTGCATTTCCCTATCCCTTTGCCTCGGAGGTGGGTTCCTGATAGCACACTCCACCCCAAGTCTAATTCCAAGAGCACCATGCTGGCAAGGAGAGCCCTCAGCCCAGTACCCAGAGCAGGAAGGCAGGCAAGAAATGGGGAAGACAGCACTGGGACTCTTACTTCCTGGGAGCCAGCTCTCACTCACAGGACTAGGTTCTGCTGCACATACCCTCCATGGCCCTGGAAATCCTACGGCACCCTGAGAAGCCACAGCAGAGGTTTCCCTCTGAGATCCTGTGGGCAAGCACACTCACTTCTTCTTGTAGCCCTCCATGGCCTCCTGCACATGGTTGAGCTCAGCAGCCAGCCGCCCGCTGTCAGCCTCCACACACTCAGCCTCCCGTCTCAGAGCCTCAATGTAGCCTCCAAAGAGAGGCTCCAGGTTGCTCTCGCAGCAGCGCTGGTTCTGGTAGAACTGCCACTTGGTCTCCAGCAGCTTGTTCTGCTGCTCCAGGAAGCGCACCTGCCATTCAGGGGAGAAAGAGACTTAGTGGGGATCTAGGAAGTGTGTTTGTGTGTGTGCATGTGGTGTGTGTATGTGTGTGTTGTGTGTGTGCATGTGGACCTGTATATATGTGGTATGTGTGTGACATGTAGTGTGTATATGTGATGTGTGTAATGTATATGTGTGTGTGTGTGGTTTGTGTGGTATACATGTGCAAGTGATGCATGTGGTATGTTTGTGTGTGGTATATGTAGTGTGTGAGTGGTATGCATATGTGTATATTGCATGTATGTTTGTTGTATTGTGTATGTGTGGTGCAGTATGTGTGTATGTGTGGTGCATTATGTGTGTGGTATGTGTAATTGGTATATATATATGTTTGTGTATGTGTTGTGTTGAATATGTGTGTGGTGTGTATGTTTGTGTGTGGCATTTGTATTGTGGTATGTGTGACTGGTGTGTGTGTGTGTGTATGTGTGTGTGTGTCATGTGTGTACGGTGTGCTTTGCTAGAGCTCTTTGCCCTTTCATGCTGGCTGAACAGCTCTGCACCTGGCTCAAAGCTAGGTCCAGCTTCAGCTCCAGCTCTGGGACTATAGGCAGGCAAGCTACTGAGCCTCTCAGTGCCTCTAACTCCATGACAGCAGTGCTACAACTGTGAAGACCAAGCCAGTTCATACATGTAAATTATTCAGAACAGTCCTGACATTAGCAAGGGTAGCAAGTCAATAAAGCCACTTTAATTACCAGTGGTCCTTTAGTCATTCTTTTTCAACAAGCACATCTCTGGTATTCACTCTGGTACACAGGCCTATGCTAGGACACCCACACACACATGTGCACACTCCCATACTGCACATGTATACACATACCACACATGCACAGACCCACACACCACATACTACATCACACATACATACACACATATACACACTATATACACACATCACACACTACACCATACCACACCACATACATACACTATACACACACACAGATCACACAAGACCATACAATACAGTACCACATATACATATATCACACATTGCATATACACACCACACATACTACATCATATCACACCACACACACATTAAACCACACCATACAATACTACATATACATATTTTACACACTACATACACTCACCATGACACACACACACTACATAACATCAAACTACAGCACACAACTACACACACCACATACATACCACATATATGTACACACACATCATACCATACCACACCACATCCATACCCCACCATGTGCACCACCACATGTACCACATCACACACATCTCCCCCCCCACATCACTCCTATGACTGTTTATGTCTGTGTTTAAGGCCTTTTTCTTTTTCTATGTCCATATCTATGTCTGTTTCTGCCTTTTCTATGTCAATATTTCTGTTTATTTCTGTTTTTATGTCTTTGTCTCTCTATCTCTAAGTTCTTGCATCTGCGTCTTTATCTGTGTTTTTGCTTATTTCTATATATCTGTGTTTATGTCTGTGTCTTTGTCTGTGAAGTTTATCATGCTTCTCTGTGTATGGGTGCAGATGCCATTCCCTCCACATTATGGTTGGGGAAGCAGACTCCTGAGGATGAAAAGACAGCTCACACTCATTGATGGAGTGATGCCTCAAGTCCCCATCCATTGCCTTCACTGGCCCACAGTCTGAGCAGCCTCAAGCTCCCTCAGCTCCATTTGTTATTGCAATATGGTCATGAAGATCTACCCATGGGGTGATTTTGAGGATTCATTAAGACCACTAAAAAAAGTATCGGGAATTTTAGACTCCCTCCTCATAGCCCCTTGGGAGGCAGCTGCCCATCTTTGAAACTTTGCCAGAATTGATGGGTATCCTTTCAGGCAGGCCTTCTCCCCAACTCTCTTTCACCCCTGCTTGGAGTTAGCTGTCCACCTCTTCCAAGATTGCCTTCGGAAGAGAAAGTAACCATTGACATTTATTGAACGCTTGCCACTGGCCTGTAGTTTCCAAAATTGAGTTCTTGCATCCTCACACAAACCCATGAAGCAGGTCCTGCTATTCAAGGTTGTATCTTGCCTGGAGTGTCACAGCCAGCCCTTGAGGAGACAGTGTGACCTAAGCAGTTCCCCTCCACAGCCCATGCTGCCTAGGCACAAACCAACCGTGGCTTCTGTTTGTTCTTTGTTTTTACTCTTCTTATCCTCAGCCTTCAACTAGGCTTGGAGGGACACTCTGCCTTTTCATATTGTCCTCAGATATATATACATGCACACATACATGCAAATGCACATGCATGCATGCACACACACACATACACACTAAACCATAGACTAGATTTTAGACTACATAATGAACTTTCCAAGTACCAAATGAAGGCAATGGGTCCATCCACTTATGTGGGCTTCCTGTCCCTAACCTGGCAGCCAATTTGTCTTCCCAAAAGACTGGGACCTTCTGAAGAGAAGTCAGGGCTGGGTTCTGCTCTGGGCCATCACAAGCCACACCCACCTTGTCGATGAAGGCTGCGAACTTGCTGTTGAGGCACTTGATCTGTTCCTTCTCCTCATGCTTCACACACTGAGCATTGGGGTCGATCTCCAGGTTGAGGGGTGTGAGCAGGCTCTCATTGACAGAGACAGTGGTGATGCAGGGGGGACTGGGCCCACAGACTCCTCCAGAGCGGTATCCGAAGCTGCGTCCACAGGAGCTGGAGCGGAAGCCTCCAACAGCCATGCGGGGCCCACAAGGGCTGGGGTTACAGAGGCTTCGGCTGCTGAAGCCGGTCAATCCCCTGTAGCAGGACACACCTCGGAAGGGAGCAGCACTGACACAGCAGCGGTTGCCAGTTTTGGGGGCCACAGCTGAGCAAGAGCTGAAGTTTCTGGTAACTCCACATCCTGGGCTGATCCTGTAGGAGCGACAGGACATGGTGTGAGCTGGATGCTGGCGTCTAAGTGGCTGTGGAGTTTGGTGTAGGCTGCAGAGTGTGAGACTTGGAATCCTTTGGGTCTCTCTGATCCTCGGCAGTCCTTTTATTGGTGGGGAGAGCTGGGGTTGGCTGTGTAAAAGCAGTGAAAAGCCATTTTATGTTGTTTATGGGCTTGGGGAGGTTGCCAGCAACTCCCCAAGGACTCATCTTAAAGGTGAGCTCAGAGGCAACTCAGGCTCTGTAAAGAGTTGAAGATGTTATTAGGGACAACACACTGCACTTTTCATCTTCAAAGCTCTTTACATACATTAAGTAATTAATTTTCACACAGTCTCTCTGAGATGGCCTCAACCCACACCCAGGGACAGATTTGAACTCCACAACAATCTGGGGGTGGCTAGGTTTGGGGTACCAGTGGAGGGTGTAGCATCACCAGAGTCCCAGGTTGGCTGGGACACAGGAAGACCCCACTCTGTTCCCTGAGGAAGCTTCACATGCCCAGACAGCTTGCCTGAAGGAGTCATTTTGATTGTGTTTTCAGGGACAGGGGGCTGAAGGAGACAGTCCCTTGGAACTGTCTGGATTCCAGCCCAGAGAATTATGGTCCAGAGCCTGTCCTTCTCACCCAGCAAAAGTGCAAACCACTGAAGTTTCAGTGGCCACATAATGAGCACTTGTGGGTACCGGGGAGACTCCTTCTCAGCCACTTTCTTCCATGTGGCCAGAACAGGAAGGTGTAGCCAACCTTGAGGGAACCTGTGTTTGTGCATCAGCTTGCTCTGAGCCCTTTCTATTTGCTCCTTAAGAAGAAACATGCTCTTGTGAATGTCTGTCCCCTCCAAGACCACTGGCCAGAGCAGTAAGCCTGTTCATGCACTGTCCCAGCATTGTCCACTCTTGAGGTCTGATTAGAGCTTACACTGACTTTACAAAGATGGGAGTGGAGTGGTGGCTTACTCTTGCCAGAGGACCCTGGATTTCTGTCTCCTGGGGGCCTCTGGGAACCATGGCCTTCTAATATCACTGTTACCTGTGTGTCCCTGGGCCACTTATTAGGATAATGATGCTATTCCTCTAATGTTTATGGAGCACAAACACCAAGGATGTGGTCTCTGCCCCCAGGGAGGCTCTGCAGACACCCTAGGAATTAGGACCTAAAGGAAGGATTGCTGGTGAGCTTGCCTGGAGACTGATTCTTTTGTTAGTACCAAATATTCCCACTTAAACACCCTTTGCTCTCTGCCCTCATGTCCATGGCCCGCTGACCTCATGTCTTCACTTGGTGTTAAACGGATGGTTGGATATATTTTCTGTGGCTTATCCTGACTCATCAGGGAAGGTAGACAGACTCTGGGCAGCTGGTGGAGGAAGCCCAGGTGTTCACCAGATGGTGGGGGAGCCCAGGTGTCCAAAAGCTGGTGGAGGGGAAGCCCAGGTGTTCACCAGCAGGTGGGGGAAGCCCAGGTGTTCACCAGCAGGTGGGGGAAGCCCAGGTGCTCACCAGCAGGTGGGGGAAGCCTAGATGTTCACCAGCTGGTGGGGGAAGCCTAGGTGCTCACCAGCAGGTGGGGGAAGCCCAGGTGTTCACCAGATGGTGGGGGAAGCCCAGGTACTCACCAGCAGGTGGGGGAAGCCTAGGTGCTCACCAGCAGGTGAGGGAAGCCCAGGTGTTCACCAGATGGTGGGGGAAGCCCAGGTGCTCACCAGGTGGTGGGGGAAGCCTAGGTGCTCACCAGCAAGTGGGGGAAGCCTAGGTGCTCACCAGCAAGTGGGGGAAGCCCAGATGTCCAAAAGCTGGTGAAGGGGAAGCCCAGGTGCTCACAAGATGGTGGGGGAAGCCCAGGTGCTCACAAGATGGTGGGAGAAGCCCAGGTGTTCACCAGCTGGTGGAGAAGCCCAGGTGCTCACCAGCAGGTGGGAGAAGCCCAGATGTCCACCAGCTGGTGGAGGGGAAACCCAGGTGCTCACCAGCTGATCCTAAAAGACATTCCAACACTGGTCCCTCCAGGGAAAGCAAGAGAGATTAGCAACTGGGATAGCTGAATCAAAACTGCAAGACCTAGGTCAACTTGGACCCTTTCTAGTTGTGTCTTTGGG